CAGCCACTCCTCGGAAGGAAGGTTGGGCAATCTACTTCCATAGTGATACTGCCTCAGAAACCCAAGGAGGGGTCGCTATGAGTTGGGTCCAACTCGACAGCACATAACAACAACAACATCCTGTTCTCTGGATGCTTCACAAGTGTCAGCCTGCAGCAACTATTTGCTGAGCACTTCCTTTCTGCCAGGCAGGCCCAGTGCTAAGTGCTATGGGTGTGGAGATAAGTATAATTCAGTCCCTGCCCTTAAGAGGCCCACAGTCTAGTGGAGATGACAGATGTAGGGAGAGATTGTGTAAAGATGTCACAAGTTTAAGAGATCTACACATGGTCTTATCACCCATTAAAAAACTGAAATTCTCTTCAAAGGAGGAACTGTCTCTTGTCTCTTGGTTATTCTTTACAGAGCCTCATCCAGGACTAGACACAGAGCAGGTATTGAGTAAATATATGCTGACTTGAACTGAACCAAATAATATTTTGGTATATGGTGTCCCTTGCAATTCCATATGAATTTACAAATCAGCTTCTCTGTTTCTGAAAAACGGGTCATTGAGATTTTGATAGGGATTGCACTGAACTGTAAATTGCTTTGGGGAGTATTATCATCAATACAATATTAAGTATTCCAATCCATGAACATGGGATGGCTTTTCATTTAATTAGGTCTTCTTTAATTTCTTTCAGCAATGTTTTATAGGTCACAGTATATAGTAAGTCTTTCACTTCCTTGGTTAAATTTATTCCTAAGTATTTTATTCTTTTTGATGCTATTGTAGATGAAATTGTCTTGATTTCCATTTTAGATTGTCTTATTTTTGATCTTATATCCTGCAACTTTGCTGAATTCATTTATTAGTTCTAATCATGTTTTTTTTTTTTGGTATGGATTAAGGTTTTCTATGTATAAGATCATGTTATCTGCAAAATCAAGTAATATTTTTAAAAGCAACAAATTAGAAGATTTAAGTGCTTCTAGCTAGATTATTAAAAGGTCAGTGTCCAAACTGGCTTGAGTTCCAAAGGCCTTATCTGGGTTATCTTTTTATGTAGTGAAAGTCTGTACACAGATACGCATTCTAGATGCTACGCAGCATTCTAAGCACTAACATTTTAATCCTTATAATAGCAATGTGAGGTGAGTATTATTGTTCCCACTTGGCATGGGAGGGTATTGAAGCACAGAGAGGTTAAGCAACTATCTGAGGCCATACAGCTTTTAAGTATTAGAGCTGGGATTTGAACCCAGGTAGTCTGGGTCTAGATTCTGTGCTGTCAAAGACTATGCCATTTTGCTTGGAAGAGCATTTGCCAATATCTATCAAACTACAAATGTATTTACACCTTTGATGCAACAATACCATTTTAGGCATTTTTTCTACAGCTAAACCTATGCACATAAAAAAAATGGAACATGGGCAAGGTTATTCATGGGAGCTTTGGTAGTATACACGAACATGTTTCTATCTATGAGGGATTTGTTAGATAAAGTACAATTACACAGAGGAATTCTATGCAGCTATGAAAAAGGAGAAAACTTTCAGTGAACTGGATAAACGATCTCCAGAATTTATTGTTAAGTGAAAAAAGCAAGTGGAAGAATGGTGTAGTGAATACTACCATTTGTGTAATGGTGTGTATAGTGAATACTACCATTTGTGTATGGAAGTGGGGAGTGGACAAGAACATTTGTTTTGTTTCAGTGTTTCCTGGACACACAAGGAACTAACCGAAGTGGTTACCACTAGGGAGCAGGAAGGAGAAAAACACTGGTGGGAGTGGGGTGGGAGAGATATTTTATAATGTATATGTTTTCATAGCTTTGAGAGATCCATCCCAGTTCTTCTACTTACTAGCACTGGAACCTTGGGAAAGTTACTTAATCTCTTTCTCTGTGTAATTAATTTGTAAACATATGGATAAAAATGGTTATTAACGCCTAAGCTTTGGAGAGTTGAAAACAACAACAAAACAACCAACTATGTAAAGTGCTTGGAACATAGAAGGTGAACAAGAGATGTTAGCTATGAAACTAGGATTACCAATATTAGATGGAATGATGCTGTGTGACTTCCAAAGCTGGGCCTCAAGAGGCCTTGATGCTTTCACTTTTGCCCTTTTGGGCACAGCTGTCCTATGTGAGGACGCTCAGCCTAGCCTGCTGGAGGGGAGCTCCATGGATAGAGGGGCCCACCTGACACCAGAACCAACAGCCAGATAAATGAGTTTTCAGGGAACATCCAGCCCACTTGAGCTGCCAGATGAGCAGTCATTTGAATGAGCCCAGGAGAGTAGGGCTGCTAGATTTAGCAAATAAAAATATCTAGTTAAATTTTAATTTCAGATTAAAAAAAAACATACACATATTTTTTCCCACTATATCCCATCCAATATTTGCGGCATACTTAAACTTACTGCTGCTTATCTGAAATTCAGATTTAACTGGGTATCCTGTATTTTATTTGGCAACTTGAGCAGAAGAAGAACCTCCCAAAGGAGCAAGCTCAGAACAAATCAATGAACCACAAGATAATAAGCAAATAAAATAGTTATCTCTTAAGTCACTAAGTAATGAGATGGTGCATTATGTAGCAAGAGAGAACTGACCCATGTATGTATGGAAGGTCACGGTGGGGCCTAATCTGTACTCTGACCTTGCTGGTCCCTGCAGTCCATTCTATCTTCCAGACTTGTTTCTACTTACTTAAAGTCTAGGTGTGAGGGCTTTTTGGGTCTTCCTTTGTCTCTGAGTCCCTCACCCTGAATCAGCCCAACTCTGCCCACACCCCAGCTCCAACCTGTACCCTTCGAAATTCCTAAAGCACTTACTTGAGATGGGGGTGGGGTGGTGCTGACTTCTGGGACTCTTCACCCTGTTGGGAATTGCTGCGGCCTTGAACAGGGGGCCGTGGCTGAGAAGTGAGGCCTGGTTTGGAGGCCTGGTTTGGTGAGCTGCCACCAGATGCCCGGGACAGCTGTGGGGAACCTGGTGACCTCTGCTGCTGTGGAGAGCCAGACTGCGGGCTCAGAGGCTGCTGGCCTTGGGGGGAAAGCCTCTGTTGGGAGGGGCTCCCAGACCTTGGGGGCTGAGAAGACTGAGCTTGACGAGGGCCTCCTGCAGGAAGAAAAATCTTTTACATTCAAGAGGATAAATATAGCTGGACACAAGCTTCAAAGATGTTTATCACAATTATTTTCTTCTATGATGGTGAAAAACTGGAAACAATATAAATGCCTAACCATAAGGGAACTGTTTGAACAGGACATAGCTTATTTTTTTACCGTTCCATGACAGTATGTCCTAGTAGATTGGGGGACCCATTGATCTTAAACTCAAACACCTCTGGGGCCAGGGGGGTACAGAAATAAATAAACCAGACAAGTATAAAAAACATCACGTGCCCTTTAAAATTTCTCCCACTTGAAATAAAAACATGGGTTCAGAGAATTATTTCTCTAAAGAAGTACAACCATGAAGAAAATGGCATTGACACTCAAATCTTTGTTGGTGTGACAATAGGGAGGAGTAGGGCCTGGGGCAAAGAGGGGAGTCTTCGCTGTGTTCAGGAAGCAGATGCTATTGAACACCAGTGGACAGTTGCTTTGTAGGAATGCAAGCTCATTATTGCTAGAGCTTTTGCATCTTCAAAAGAAGCTGAAAATCTAGATGTTTATAGAAAAGTGCCTGAGTTTTAAATACTGGTTTACTCTTTAGTTTCTAAACCCAGTGCAAATCACAGAAAACATCTGTATTCTGCTTATACCGTAAGCAGTGGCATCATTAGGGGTGGTGTCACCCCTAGGCCTCATCCCATACCAGACCACACAGAATCCTTAGTAATGTTTATTATCAATTTTAACCATAGAATAATATATGATAAATATAGTTGTACATTGCTTACATGTATGGAGCTCTGGTGGCATAGTGCCTAAGGCATTTGACTGCTAACCAGAAGGCTGGCGATTCAAACCCACCAGCCACTCCTCGGAAGGAAGGTTGGGCAATCTACTTTCATAGTGATATCCCCTTGGAAACCCAAGGAGGGGTCGCTATGAGTCAGAATTGGCTCGATGGCAGTGAGTTTATTTTATTTTATTTTTTTGGTTTGCTTAAATGTATTTCTTAGATTACATGAATACTAACAAAAAATTGTTGAAGTACAACATTGTTAGTTACAACATTATTAGTAACTTGGTGGAAGACTTTTTTTTGACTTTTCTCCTTCTTTTCCTTTAATTAAGACTTCACTTTCAAAAAAGTGATTTACCAAGGTTCACAAATACTAATTACTACAATATTGTAGCTAAAACCCTAGAACATTTGACAAAATCAGTGACTATAAAAACACCAGCAGCAAGTTAAACACCAGTGAGTGCTGGTAGTGCATGTGGATGAAACCACCTGACTTTAAGCGTCACTGTAATTGGGTAATAATGACAGTAAACACCAGTGAGTGCTGATAGCACATGTGGACGAAACCACCTGACTTTAAGTGTCACTGTAATTGGGTAATAATGACAGTAAACACCAGTGAGTGCTGGTAGCGCATGTGGAAGAAACCACCTGACTTTAAGTGTCACTGTAATTGGGTAATAATGATGACAGCTCTGATAGGAGCACATCAGAAGGTTCAAAAAGTATATTAGCGTAGAATGTTAGCCTTGTGGGTATATTGATGCAATGTAAGCTGGGATTATGAAAAATGTTTTTGTTGTTATAACTAACTACCCAAAACCAAAACCAAACTCACTGCCATAGGGTCGAGTCTAACTCATAGTAACCCCCATTGGGTTTCCAAGGTGATACATCTTTACGGAAGTAGAATGCCCCATCTTTCTTCTGTGGAGTGGCTGGTGGGTTTGAACTGCCAACCTTCTGGTGAGCAGTCAAATGCCTTAGGCACGGCCCCACTAGAGAGAGATTTTTTTTTTTTTTTTTTTAAATAAAAGATAATAAATTTCTGCTAAAACACTGCCCCTAAAGACAAACATTTTGGTCTCACCCCCTCTGACAGTATCAGCTGGTGCAGCCTGCACTCCCTCTGCCCATCTAAAGCATTTGACTGCTAACCAGAAGGCTGGCAGTTCAAACTCACCAGTCACTCCTCGGAAGGAAGATTGGGCAATCTACTTCCATAGTGATACCGCCTCAGAAACTGAAGGAGGGGTTGCTATGAGTCAGAGCCGACTCAATGGCAGTGAATTTTTTTTTTTTTAATTTTTTAAGTATTTCCCTGCCCCAGCCCACAGTATCTTGCAAAATCTGAATCCTCATTTATTTCTTGGTTATTTGTTGAGTCTCTCTTACACACTGGGATTCGAGAGACACCTAGTTTTTCTTCCAGCCACTTGCAAAGCAAACCACGCAGTAATTTTTGTTCATGCACATACAAAAACTATTAACTTAGGTACAGAAAATATTTGCCTAAACCCAGGATTAATGCTAAAAAAAAAATTATGAAGTTCATTGAAAGAAAGCTTCACTTTAACTGGGTCGAAAATGAACAACTTAATAACATGATCTTGTTATTTTAGGAACTCAAAGAAAGCATTATTTTAAAATTAGCCTTGTTATTTTTAATCTGGATGTTAATTCAGTGGGCATTTTCTTTCATTACCTTACTTGGTTTTAAATGGATTGTTTTTCAACTCACTAAAAGTGTGTTTAGCCTCAAGTCTCTTAAAATAATCTCTTTATCAAGCATGTCTTTACTCTGGGCCCAGGGAGGAAATTAGAACATAGGCCATCTCTGTTTTCAAAGTGCTCTGTTCAGATGTGTTTTAATAAGGAAGTCGTGGGGCAGAGTGAGAAAGCTGGGCAGAGCAGGGGCACAGCTGGGAGCCTGCAAAAGGTAGGAAGTAATTATAAATGATGAACTTCATAGAAGTGTTGCCAGGCAAGAGGGCAGTGGTTATTAATTATTGGTTATAATGAGTATTAATAATAACTGCCATTAAGAACAAAAAGAGCTCTGGTGACTCAGTGGTTAAGGTATTCGACCAAAAGTTTGAACCCACCATCTGCTCCGTGGGAGAAAGATGAGGCAGTCTGCTTCCGTAAAGAAACCTTGGAACCCTAGAGGGCAGTTCTGCTCTGTCCTTTAGGGTCGCTATGAGTCAGAATTAACTCAGTGACAGTGGGTTATTAAGAATAACATGTATATTATAATTGTTAGTAATACACAAGTTATTGTTGTTGTTAAGTGCCGTCGAGTCGTTTCCGACTCATAGCGACCCCATGCACAGCAGAACGAAACACTGCCCGATCCC